TGCTTTTCTTTGCCTTCCCACACCTCACTCCAAGACTTTTTTGGGGGGTGGGCAAGACCAGCCCCGCTGCCCTGGAGGACAGTGAAGGGACAGTCCCCCTGTCCCCTGGTCCTGCAGCCGAGACCCCAGCATGGGGAGAAAAGGGAAGGGGCTCAGCCTGGGTGACCCCAGGGTGGAGAATGGAGCAGCGGCAGAGCTCAGCCTGGTGCCTGGTGCTGCCATCCTGTCCGTGGGTCCCCAGCCCTGTCCGTGGGTCCCAGCATGCTGCCACGGGGGGAGGCAATGCAGACTCTTTCAGTGCTGGTGCCAGAGCCCTGGCTGCTGTGGGGCAGCCTCTGGGGGGCTTGGCTGGGGGGCACCTGCCAGCAGAGGAGCCCCCAGGGCTTCACAGTTGTCCTCAGGTTGCCTGGGACATTCCAGGTGCAGTTCTGAGATGCGCAGCCTGTGCAGGGCTTGTTGGTGGGGTGATGTGTAGCTTGAGGACAGATCTTCTCCAGGGAAAAAGCCTGGAAATGCCAACCCCTTGGCCCTGCTTGCTGCCCAGCTCCAGAGGTCACCTGAAGTAGTTGTAGATCTGCCACGATGTCCCAGAAAAACTTCCCCAAAGCTCCTCATCCAGATCTCTGGAAAATGCCAGACTTGGTGGGCAGCCCCACAGTGCCCACTGCAGACTGTGTGGGGCTCCCCACCAGACCTGGCACGTTGCTGGGGTGTCTGGGCGCTGGAACAGGTTGCCCCCCCACCCCAGACCCCCTGCTCCTCACCCAAAGGGGTCAGACCCACCATGGCCAGAGGACTCAGTTCCTTCTTCCCAGTGTGGGAAGCTGGGAGTGGCCCTGCAGGATGACAGTCCCCATGGACAGCTCTCCTGGCCTCAGGTTCTGCTTACTTGGTCTTGGCATCTGTGCCAGGTTTTTCCACCCTGTCCCATGGCCGTGCTCAGCCCCAAGGGCTGGATACGGCGGGTGAGGCTCTGAGCTGAGAGACCTTCTTGGCAGGATCTCTGAGCCCCAAGGAGCTTTTCCCTGCTCTTCCTCATTCCCGGCAGGGCCTGAGCAGCAACACCTGCCCAGGGTTGGGGACAGGTCCCCTTGACACAGAGTCACAGAGCAGCTTAGGTGGGAAGGGACCTTAAAGCTCATCCAATCCCACCTCCTGCCATGGGCAGGGCCACCTCCCACCAGACCTAGGTGCTCCGAGCCCCATCCAACCTGGACCACTTCCAAGGATGGTGCAGCCATAGCTCCTTTGCTGAGGCTTTGGCCCTTCCCATCGGTGGGAGGTGACCCTTGGTCCTGCTGGTGCCTTCAGGGTTGCTGGACCAGCCAGGTGTCCCGTCACCCCAAGTTTTGGCCCATCTCTGCCCCCACCCCAGTGGGAGCACCTGTCTCGTGGCCAGGGTGTCCCCTGGGGGGTGTTCAGCTCCTGGCTGTGGTTGCTGTTGGGGGCAGGGGGCTCCCTGTTCCACTGGCCAGAGGGGTGGGCTGCCCCTTGGCTCCCCAGGCTGGGGGGCTGTTCCTGTTTATGCTCATCCTGGTGGTTACTGGGACGTGCTGGGGAAGTGCCTGTGCTCCTGACTTTGGGGGGTCTTCTGTGGCCCTTCAGGTGCCCCTGCTCCCAGGAGCAGCTCCAGCCCCATATCCCCCAGCAGCAGAGGAGCCCCAGTTAGTGCCTCATCCCTCCCTCGGGGTCAGTGACTGGGGCCCAAGTGACCGGGCTGGAGAGGTGCCCCAACCCCACAGTGTTGTGTGTCCTCCCCACATGTGCTGGGCTCATCCCAGCTGTGGTGACACCTGGGGACTTGTGTCCCCCACCCCTGGACACAGCCCCCCTCCTGGCTGTGCTTCCCTGGGGCTGAGCTGGACCAGGATGAGCTTCCTCTGCCTGAGGGTCGGTGGGACACGGGGCTGGGGCTTGTCTGCTTCTCCAGAGCCCTTGGAAGGGACAGCACTGTCCTCCTTCCCCTTGGGAAGGGTCCCGAGTCCTGGTTCTCCCCCTGGCTGTCACTGCCCCAGCCTGCCTGAGTGATGGTGCAGGTGGAGGTGGTGGTGGTGGTGTCAGTGGTGGAGGTGGTGGAGCTGCTGTGACAGGTTCTCCCCTCCCCTTCCAGCTGCCCTACACGGAGCTGGAGAAGGTGAGTGGCATCGAGGAGGCCAAGCACTACCTGCGGCAGAAGCTGAGGGAGCTGCGCTTCTGAGGGCTGGGATGGCAGAGCAGGGGGACTCAGGCCCCTTCCCCTGGGGGTGGGAGATGGAGCTGCCCCTGTCCCGGGGGGCTGGGAGGGCTGGGGGCACCTGCTTCTTGAGGTGGGGCCGGGGTAGTGTGAGATATTTATTGCTGTTAGTGGGGGGAAGGGTGTGAGTCCAGGGGGGTGTAGGGGGGAGAGTTTGGGTGCT